CCAATTCAGTGAAGGAACCAATTCTTACTGAGGAATAGCTGGAAAAAAATGAAATCCAAGTCATTAAGAGACTCTACTATTCATGCAACACTCCATTTTTAAGAAAATATACTTTTAAATTCTGTCCCTGACCCCCTTTTTCTTCCACACACTGTTCAGGAATAGGCAGTGGATCCATTTAGATCTGGCCTAATCACTGTTGGAGATACAACCGTTGCTAATCCTCTGATCTCCCCTCTCACTGGTGCTGCTGACGCCTTGAGCTCTCTCCAGAGAGAGAGAGGAGGGGAAATGATCCACCTGAGAGGCTGCCCGTTTTCACCGGGGGGACACAGCCCAAAATATGTTTCAAATTATAATACAAAAAATATATTTTCAACAGCCTTCATCTTGTAAATAATTAAGCTATCCAAAAAGACAAAATGTACTGATTAGTTTTCCCCACTGACAACAAGAGGTTTTTATTGCCATGTTTCATTCATAGCAAAAACAGAGAACATTAGAAAATCCTCACCATTGAGAAGTTGTATTCTTTGCTTGACCAAAAATGACCAACTGATTTCCCATCATAGACTAAGGCTGCAAAATGGAACGCCCAACAAATAAGCTAACTTGCATAGCCAATTAGTTGATTTCAGATTAAGTCAAACTGAGTTTCTCCACAAAGATTCATGCTTTAAATCCTGTGTTTGCCAATGACGTGCTCATACGTTATGTGGAAAGAAGTCAATGAGCATGACAAATGCATAAAACATGACTGATCAACTAAAGAAACATTTTTCAACTGAGCCCAGAGCGATCAACTAAGGGGGCCATCACTACAGGTAACCACAACACAGCACCCCTCTCTATATAGATCCACACAGGCATCTTTTCAGAACTATGATCCAAAATGTTCATAAAGGACCCTGTGGTGCCAAAGTCAATGTCACTATAGCTGCACTGTGACATCCACCTGGTGCAGGATGGGTGGAGGTTCAGGCATCTTATAATACACTATAAACAAGAATGAATGAAGACCTGGGCCCAAACTAGTAAAAGGCCCGCATCCTTCCGAGCATGCAGCCACCGCCCCACCCACATCATAATATAGTCAATTATATTAACAGAATTAGAAGGTTTTCCGAAGGCCTTTTAATGTTGACATCATTCAGTCAAAATACACACTGTTGTGCTTTTTATCACTCTTGATTGTGTTAGTCAGATTGTTGGAGATATTGGCCGTATAGAGGTCTGCTTTCTCTCCAATATAATAAGACTAGGTGATACCTTATGGTTCTCCAAGCAACCAAACAAATATTATTATTATATTATAATAATAATCCTGACCCAGTTTCTCAAGATAATCCACAGACTTTGTTATAAACAAATTTCACGTGGGGACTATTTTCTTTCAAACAAAATACACCCCACCAACCGTATTACTTAACACTATAGCCAAAGCTTAGGAAGCCTCCTGAGGACCTCCTGTCTCTCATATTTCTGAATATTAACCAAATAATTCCTGTAGTGATGCATCTTCCTATTTACACAAAGCGTGGTGTCATATTTGCATCAAGAGGCCCGAACATAAGCCACACATCGTCCTCCATATTGCTTCAGCTCTGCTTGTGCCGAGCCATCTTTGGCAATTCAACCCAATTACATACTCTCGACTAACATCAGCATGGAGACAATGACCTCCTTCCTGTATGCATCTTCCTCATTACAGCTGAGAGGAGAAACATGGAAGGAAATAGGACCCACCGTCCCCTCCCTTCCCCTGACTCCCCTCCCCTCCCCTCCCTATTCTCTACTTTCCATTGAAGCACCACCACCATCCCTGCAGCTCTGCTACTTAACCAGGGGGAAATAATGTAATTGCAACATGTATGTGGAATTCAGCTTCTTGAAAATGGTAATTTATGAGGATAGCTTGACATAAAGAGCCGGGTTTAAGTGGATGCAGGGAAGCATTTGCCCCACCAGTTCGTGTGCAGCAGTGATACCCGGGTAACACCACACACAAAGAAATGTGAAATCTCAAAGTCATGCATACCATGAGTGGCACCGTGAGTGTAAATCTACTGGAGGAATTAATATTATTACAGATTAAGGATGGATTTTCTGCACTTGTCGTAAAGATGCTATAAAAAAAACCTTCCACCCTCAGCACATTATTGATGTATGATCCATGCAATCTCAGTGGTGCATGTTTTGAAGTAAAACCGATGTGCAAATTGCATTTAAGGAATACAAAGCTAATTTAGCGGTGATATCCTGCAGTTTGGAGCTCAGGTTTGTCGCGGTGAAGGGAGCACGCCGCACCGGTGACATCCTGCACCCACACCCCGCAGGCCCGCGCCGAAATACACCGGAACCCCAGCCGGGTAAACCCTCTGTTTGAAACAACATTAAAGCCCCTAACACTCACTGTGATGCGGGGGATGTTCTTCTTTCCCTGGTATCCAGACATGTTCACCAGTGTTTCGTGTTGCGCTACGCCGCGCCTGATCCGCAATGAATGCGACGGATTACCGCTGCTCGCCGGGTGGAAACGAGGATGACCGTGGAGAGAAAAAGGAAGGAAGAAGCTCGCTCTGAGGTCACACAAAGAGTCAAAGTTATCTCTCAACTCCGGTTCGAGTAGTGTCCTGTCCCTGGCAGCCTCCCCGCTCTCCGCCGATGCACCAAACCTTTCCTTTCCCAGACTGGATTCAGACAAGAGAGGAGGGTAGAGGAGGGGAGGGGCCGCGTGCGAGGCTCGTCCCATAAAAGAACCGCACGGAGCATGCGCAGAGCCTCGCCCTGCTCCTCTGACAGGAAAGAGCCTCTAATGCCATCAATTGCTCTCCTGGGATTAGTGAAGAGTGCGCCAAGTGAAGAAAGTAGCCATCTTACTTTCTGCTGTTTCAAAATGTAGTTTATTAGAATAAATGAAATGTCACTATATGCAAGGACGGCTCACTTTACATAATGAACGTGTTTCATCCATATTTTTGGGTGATTTTAAAAGTAACAAGATAGTTTCAAGACACGAGTGACACTTGTTGGGGTCAGCAGTTTTAGTAGACAATGGGATTTTCATTCCCATTGTTCGGTTAAAACTAAAATAATATAAAACTAGGAGAGTGTAGGTCTCTGTCAAGGCCAGATCTCTTAACTCATGATGATCCTTGGTGTTTCTATTGACTTGCATTGAGAGAAACTATCTTCCATACACTGCAGAAACCAGAGTACACGCCTATAATTGATTTGTGTAATATAACAGGATGGATTACCCAGATAAAAAGAAAAAACAGATTGACAAGAGTTCATTTAAAAAAAAAAAACTAGATATATTTTCTCATGGTTAATAGTATTATCAAAGTGAAACTATATTTACTTCTGTATAGGCCCTACTTTTGCAGTATCCTAGTAGAGAAGACTCAAAAAGTGAGTAAACCGATGAAAGTTGGCTAATGTTAGCTTAGCACAACACATGGCTACATAGCCTACTCATACCGCACAGTTAATGTGGCAGAAAAGCCTTGAAACAGAGCATTTATATTTCTTATGTATTCAACGTTATTTATAAGAGGAAAGTGGGTTGTTTGTTCTTTTAAAGGACTTGACTCTTTAACGTTACATAAGTCCTGCTTCAAGCTCTTTTAAAAGTGGTGCACAGCTCTGTATGAGTTGTTCTCAAAGTTCAACCCTAATGTAAAATATAGATCTTTGCAGTCTGCCAGTGGTAATATATTATTCCTGTGTGAAAATACTGCATTCAATATTGTACACAAGTCATATTGATATTAAAATGCGCCTAAAGTATCAAATGTACTCATCATGCAGATTGAGGCGTTGTAGTACAATGTATTGTATTATGTTACCGGATTACTATCATTGCTGCATTAATGTGGTCAGATGGGAATACACTAGTGCTGGGTAGCTTGTACATTATCCCATTGGAGCAATAACGTTTTATTTTCATAATCCTTTATGATAATTTATCTGTTGATTATATATTCGTGTTAATAATATAAAATCTAATATAAAGCATGTAGACGTGCCTTTTTAAATATTGTAAAGTAGAAGTACACATTAGCAGAAGCTAGAAAACATAAGTCAATGAAACATGCACTTGGACTTGAGTAAATCTACTCTCCACCACTGCAGTCTGCTAATGTGATGACCAAGCACAATAGCTTTTAAACATCCCATCATTTCATTGTAATCTCTCTTATTATTCAAACATACATGCATGCTTTATGTATATTCCTTTCTTAGAGAGCCCCAGGGGAAACTACAACAAAAAAAGAGTAAGCAGATATTAGAGTATAGATAAAGGGAGTAGGTAAAGAGTACACTGTGTGACCAATGCTCCCAATCAATATGTAACATGAGGCTCACCCCTAAGCTTTTACCAGCATCCTGAGTGCTTGGTTATTAAGTAAAGGAAGTATTGATAGTGTTAGTGCCACCGTTTACCACACAAGTGCAAAACCTGGGTGGTGAGTTTGAACCATGTAGCAGAAAAGTTGACATTTTCCTGCAAGTCATGCAAGTCACATCTGCCATCATCCTCCACACCCTGCTGTTTGACAAGTTAATGCATACTAGCACAACAATGCAGCAGCCACAAATAAAATCCCATTCAGAACCAGGTAAACATTTCTTCTGATTGGTATCATTCAGATATTAGCAGATGCTTTGCCCAAGGACACTTGAGCAGATCATAAACACACAGCCCCACAGTTTATGTATTACTGTAATGTGCAGCAGAGGGGATAACATATAAGCCCACATTGACAGGAGCCACTCCCTCCCGCAGCCCTGCATGGTGGGGCCCCTCCATCTACAAGTCTATTACATAACCACACTGCTTCCTGGGAAATGTAGTCATGGCAAGTTGACTGGCAAACTCAAATGAGTGTCATTCGTATGGTTGTGCATGAAAATGGCGCAAATATCTAAACGTGGATGACAGAAATAAGACATGAAAACACAAGACATAAGCTTTTAATATCAGATACATGTACCTTTTTATCATCCAGGTTCTGCAGGTATTCTTTCCCCGTGCTCTCCCTTATCTCCACCTTCCTGGGCTGGGAGATGTCGGTCTGCCGGTCGATCACCCGCCCGTCACTCCTCTCCCTGCCCGCCTGGAGCGCGTCAAAGTCCAGCGTCTTGCTGTCCGCGGAGCCCTCCACCGGGCAGAACATGCCACAGAATTTCTGCCTGGGCCTGGCGGGGCTGTCAGAGCCCATGCCCTTAAAAAACGCTGGTACTTCCCCGGCGGTGGACATTGCAAGTCTAGCAAGTGAGGCAGGGGACGGCGGTGAGGTTTCTGTGGGGGAGTAAATCTGCTCAGATGCTCAGCTTTTCCTTTTTTTTTTCTCAGCTGAACAGCCACCGCCTTTTGCCGGATTGCAAGCGCAGGTGGTCGCACAGTGACAAAAGATCTGCTGCGTGAAAACACTCCCACTTTGGAGAGAGAAATAAATCTGCGTAATATCTGAATGTGTGGAAATGCGCTACAGATCAGCAAACAGTTTGCTTACTCATGAGTCTATATTAGCTCCTATAGCCTCCAGCCAATATCCTCCCTGTGCGAGTCAGCATATGAGGGAGAGACCTCCAGTCAGCCTTTGTGAAAATACAGATCCAATTGGCTAAGGAGGAGGTGGTTTCCCGATGAGAGATTACCTGTAGCCTGTGTGGAGACATGCACCAGATCTGCCCGTCCGGAAGTGATCAGATCCTTTCTCGTGCAAAGTAAAGACTTGTTCTATAAACATCTAATCCATCAGAGAGCTGCTGCCTGTCAGGGACAGTAAATGCTGTGTCATGGTTTAAGTGTCATACAGCTGTGGGTCTCAGCAGGGCGTGTCTGGGAGAAAGTTTGAAGTGATCAGCACCATGGAGAGATCCACAGAGTCACACCCTGTCCATCAGGGCGCTGTCCCTTCAGCACCAGCCTGTCCACAGCACACATATGATACAGGACATGTGTAGAACATATTGAGTCATAAACAGATACATACATGTAGTAATGACAAGGAAGGAAAACTGTGCGAAGTGCAGGTGACAGTTTCCAAGGACAGATTCATCCCACAGGTTATAAGACTGAACTGAGTGAAGTGTCTTCTTCATGTGTGTATATCATATCCATCTGTTAACAGTCCACATATTTATCTATTTTTACAATAAGCAGTGTTTTATTCCACTGTAGAGTATGTATACACTTTTACATTTTGTTCCATCTTGTTCAAAAATCTAAATACACAGTTTACATATTCATGTAGATTGAGATTTGAACAAGTTAAAAAGATAAAGTAACTTTTTTCATATACAAATATTAGGTAGGGGACGGCAAATAAAAGGGGGCATAAAAGTACCCAATCTTAGTCTTATATAGATTGTAACCCCTGCACAATCAAGCAGTGTGACTCATACACATTTTCGGATTTGCAACCTCAACACTTTTCCAGCATCATGGTCTGCTCACACAAGGTTATAATTCATTTAATACAGTTGACTCTAGGCTGGTGTAAAGCAGAGTAACACACTGCCTGTGTCACACTGCTACACACCCGCCACCACACAGTACACCACACTGCAGCTGCAGTACACAGAAAGTATGTTTGTAGTAGAGCTGCGTAAATATCAATACATTTACATCATTAGGCCAGAAACGCACATTAGTGTAACTCAATTCGTTTTTCTGACTGCCAGATGTGGCTCGATGCAGGAAAACATCCCTATTGTCACAAATGATATCATTCATGCCAGAGTGTACGTCGCATGTGTCGTGTCACTGGATCATTGCTTAACTCCCGTTATTTTTATTAATACTGTTAATACATGTTTATTCTTATTTTATTTCTCATTTTACATTGAATTGATTTCTTCCCTTGTATATTCCATGTGTAATATCTTTGTTTCTTCTTATTCTGTTGCTGCCATGACACGTGCATTTCCCTAGGGGGATAGATAATGGTCCATCTTATCTTATTTGTTCTTAGTCCATATTTAAAAAACACATGTATTAGGAGTGGTGGAGGCTTATCGTCTCTGTACACCACATGTTTTCAACAGTTTGACAGTATTCTCAAGGCTTGTCATTCTTACTGCCACAGTAACGCTTCTTTGATTATCGTTTTAAACGCCCTTCAAGTCATCAAGCAGGCATTGTAAGCACACCACAATGCATCCCAGCCGGATCATTAAATATCATTACGCAAACTTGAGACAAGCAGCATAAATATGACGTGGAAATGTCATGAGGGACTTATTATATTAATTAGCTTTAAATACCCTCAACAACACAAGTTAATAACATGAATGGGTTACTGAACGGGCCAACCGGGCACATGCCCAGGGACCTAAAATGTCAGGCCCCCCCCACCCTGGCCTTCAACTGTGACTACAAAATGACTACGAAGACACACAAAAAAACTACAGATAGATCAAACGACCACAGAGACTCAAAACTCCTGCAAAGAAACACAACAAAACTACAAAGGGTCTCAAAATGAATAGAATCTGAAACAAACTCAGAGAGATGTGTATGGACTTCAAAGGGACACATAAAAACAACAAAAAGACACAAAACAATCTTAAAGTCTTTCCGTCTTGCTCGGATGTTTGAGAGGTGCCGGGGCCTTTAGTCTCATACTCAACCCTTGGCCAAGACAACTACTTATATCCTGAAAACGCAGATTTAACTTCATCAGCTCATATAACTTACAGTAAAATGGTCATTTGAAGAATATGTACCTGAATAAATTATGTTTTGTAATGGACATATTTCCATTTTTAGTTGACCCTAGTATAGAGCTTAATGGCTGTGAGGTATAAATAAATCAGTGCTGCATGGTGATCAATAATGGCCGATAGAAACAGCTAACACACACACACACACTACACACACACACACACAACCACAGACAAAAGCTGTCCTGCACCGTGGAAACATTTCAGCAGTGAGTTCATGTCCACTCAGTTTCCATAACAACGTGGTGTGCAGCAAATGGCTTTGCTGCTACCATTTCCTCTCCCAGTGGTCTGTGTGTGTGTGTGTGTGTGTGTGTGTGTGTGTGTGTGTGTGTGTGTGTGTGTGTGTGTGTGTGTGTGTGTGTGGTCATCTCTGCAGGAGAGACAGACAGTCTGATTTCCAAATGTCAAAGGTGGAAAGTGAAAGTGTTGAAGGTGCAGCCACGCCCAAAAGCTATTGTTCCACAACACAAAACACATGTCCCCCTGCTCAGAGACAGAGAGAGAGAGACAGGGGGGTAAGGGGGGGGCAAGTGTTAAATCATTAGAGAGGAAAGTTGGCAGAGTGCCCGATAAACAGTTGAGTGGTCTCTGGGCAGGAACACATGTAGGACCTGCAGGGAGCTCAGCAGCACTCTCTGGTGGGCTTTTAGATTAGATTATCATTTTCTTGCAAGGCAGTACAAAGCAGTTTCTCAATGTGAATAAAGCTAATTCAATATGTGCAGGATTATGCAGGATCCAAACATTTAAGAGATTGAAATGCATCAGCATGCACCGTGATGACGAAGCAAATCTTTTGAAAAAGAATGTCAAAACCAATAAATGTATGGATTTGATGGAATACACAGATATTGAATCACTAATCACTTCAGTGGTCTTCTGGTTATCCTCCCTAAACACTGACAGACGCACATGTTCAGGGTTATAGTGGTTAGGCATCCATACCAAAAAGAAAGGGTTTCAACCCCAAGAAGACTATTTACTTGGTGTAAACAAGTAAAACCTACATTGAACAAACTTAATTTAGGCACTTAACTCACTCGCCTCTCTCTTAATGAATGTATGGAAGATAAAATATGGAGAAAGTCCCGTGTTTCTTTGACCCAACTATCCACCATGACCTCCTCCATACACAGTGTTTAATGGACTTTGATCAGAACTGTGTTTGTGATCCAGAAAAACAAAGTATTCTGAGATTTTCTTTTGAAATGAATCTCATTTAAAAAGTTGTGTCATTGTATTTTGAACACAATTTTCAGGAGACCGAGTCAGAGCAATTCAATCGATTCCTTGTTTGTTATTCAGGCGGTCAGTCGATGTATCGCTTTAGTTCAAACTGAAATACCTCGACGACTGTATCATGGTCATGGATTGCTAGCAAGTACAGGATTCATTGTCCCAAGAGGATGAACCCTGCTAACTATGCTGCCACCATCATTATGACCAAATCCCAATGACATTCCCATAGTAGACACTGAACGTCTCCACACAGTATAGCTGCTTGTTCGTGTGAAGCAGCAACGTCACTGTGTCGGCAGTGACTAACAACAAGGCAGCAACATGAGACGAAGAACAAGGAGCCCATATTAATATGAAATCATCCTTTGCCACAGATGTTTAACTACAAAGGGGATTAAAGGAGTGGTTTGAGTGGCACTTACCCCACATTTGTTCCTTGTACATACAAAAGGAAGTGAGTGCAAGGAGGAAAGACGCTCCGCATGCCTCTGACTTTATAAATAAACATGACTAGAAATGGCTTTTTCTATATTTGATGGCTCCATGTGTTTGCAATTTGTGTCAGCTGACTTTATAATCCACCTTATCCATAACTCATGAACACAGCAGTGTTTTACAGTCATCATTACAGCTGTCTGTGTTTTGCAGATTCCTCAGAAGATTGTCTCGGGAGCAATCTGAATTATTTCTGATTTTTGATGATTCACGTGGCACCGAGAGCTGCTGCAGTGCTGCATCCTGAGGAGGAGAGGAGAGTCTTCCTCACCGGAGGGAGATGGAGCTGGCCACCACCCTGTAACCCATGGTAACGCCATCAGCTGCAGTGGGAGGAGCCAAGTGTCTCGCAGTGTGTGTGGATTGGCTGGGAACAGGTGTTCTGAGGTTCCATATAGGGAAGGTGGAGGAGGACTGGAGGAGGACGCATTCTCTTATGTGAACTTCTGAAATCTATTGTATTGAATAGGCTTACTGACACTTCCATTTGGCACATGCAAACAGTCACATCAACTTCAATATCTATTCATTTAACGTGAAGTAGGGTCCAATCATTTTGTAATTTCATCCATTCAAAATGTCTGATATATTTGACTAAATACTCTGCCATCATAAATGTCTTGTTTATTATCATCTTTGTTTTTTAGCTTCATGCATTTGTTTTGTATTAAACACTTTGTTCTAGTTTTCTTAACCAATTTTGCACTTAGAATTCTATTTAATCAAAAGCTCAAAGACATTTTAAAAAATATGACATTTTCTAGTTACACGAGTATGGAGTATGAAAAAAAATGTATACTATAAAATGTATTTAAAGATAACTAACACATACAAAAACAAATACAAACTTGACAATGTGTTTCATGTTTATTGTTAGTTTGTATTTCTCTGGTTTCTGTTTTTTTCCCCACATTACTTTTAATATTCTATTATTGTATTTATTCCTTTATTTTATACTTACAAAATGTTTTCATTCTAACTTTTTTTACAGACAAATATGTATCCTAGCTGAATCCAGCAGCCGGCTTAGCAAACAGACTGGACACTATTCAACTGTCCAAATGTAAAACCTCAGTACCTTCTTTTCAATTGCATCCTGGTCGTCCTGTTCTGACTGCTGACTAGCTGCTTCACATCAATGTGTTTTGATTGCATCCTGTTTTTCATGATGCTTTCCGCTCTCCTAAGCTTTTCATCCCGTTCAGCTGCTTTACTTTCTCCGGTTCTAATGTACATGTTGTGTCATTTACTGTTTATTTATTGGCTAATTTCAAATCTGGCCAAAGGACAACAGGTAAAAAATGTGCCTTTTGGCTGACACTGGAACATGTACAGTGTCTCATCGCTATCCTTTTCAGCAAACAATGGTGGTATCAATGTTCTCATCTGAAATATCACACACCATTCCTTGACAAACGTACAGGCTGTGGATGCGTTCTCTCTTAGATGTGGAGCACTAGAAGTATATTGCATTCAGAAATGTACACAAAATGCACAATGCCTCATTTCCATAAATCCACTTTGGACTTCAGCAAAACATTTACACATGGGGTCTTACCAGAGGTGAACGTATGGAGGAGGGATGTTGAATATCCTTCAGTACAAACAAAACCTAGTGAAACCGTTGAATGAGTGAGAAGTGAAGACCTGTGATGAAAGTAGAAATAAAGCTTTTTAAAGGTTCATTACCTGAGTACATGTGTGTCCCACGGCTGCACTTAAGCAGGCTTTCTGGAGGCAAGAAGAGGGTTCATTTTCTGTCCTTTCGCAAGTAAGACAATAACATATCTTAAAAGTGTAAGGCAAAGTCCTATCATACTAAAGGCCTAAATGCAAATCTACAGTTGTAACTAAGTACGTCCACAATAGGCATTTTATAAGGGTCTGTGAAATACATGTAAGTATGGTTTGTGATACTCTCAAAAAACATATAGACCTGTAATCTTTGCAGCCAAATAGTAGCAAATATGGGAGCAAAATAAAGTCCATTGTAATCGTTTATAAAGAACATATTTAAGGGAAGAAGAGAACAGTCAGCAGTGCAGAGGGTCTGCCACTGGAGTGCAGTGCTTCCCCAGGAGAGAGAGAGAGAGAGAGAGAGAGAGAGAGAGAGAGAGAGAGAGAGAGAGAGAGAGAGAGAGAGAGAGAGAGAGAGAGAGAGAGAGGCTGTGTGTGGCCCCATTGACCGGCTGCAAATAGTTAAAGGGATAGTTTCGATGTTTTTCTGCTGCACCCACTAGCTTCCTTTCTAGCACTCTTGTCTGTTTCTCCAAACTTACTATGTACTCATCGTCGCCTACTACACTTATTGTATAAGTACCCTCATAAAACCCCACTTAAAAACATCCAGACCCTCCCTTTAAAGCCAGCGCTGACACGGTGACTTCCTGAAAGTTGATGAGTTTCAGGCAGCTCAAACATCCAGGATGAGGTCAGAGGTCAGAGGCCTGAGGGTTCTGCGAAGAACAACTCCACACTTGTGTTTGACAGCAGGGACTTCACACAAACAGATCTGTTACAGCAGGGCCAGTGAGGACACTTTGTATATTAAGAGACGATAAACAAGTGCTGCTTTCTTCTAACCTGAGCTGAGCGTCAAACAGACCTCAAAGGGATTTAGGAAAAGTAAAGAAATGTCTTGTGAGATTAGAAAAAAACAGTAAATTCAAGGGTTGATTTTACAATTTACACTTAAAATAATGCAGGACATCTTCACTTAAGCTGCTCTAAATGTGGAATGTTTCTGTCCACTTTAAGAACTTATGTGGCATTATTGATAAGATACGTTTGAGTTTTGGTGGTTTCATATTGAAGTTAATTGAATATTTCACATATTAATTTGCCTGCTGTTTAGAAAACATTATCCATTTATTTTCAGGATTAGGAAACTATTTTTTGGACATCGATCACTTTGGGTTTTTGAAAAATACCGTTTTGAACATGAACATGAGTATAATAAGGCCCCTTTAAGATTCAACCATTACTTTTTATTTAAAAAGTCATTAAATTAAGAAATTTAAAGCAGGCTTTTGCTGAATTTTTTTTTTTTTGCTTTCACATTTCATCTCACCTACTGATTTAGACAAATGGTTCAAACCCTGAATGTGTTTCTCATCATATTAAAAGGTATTCAGAAATAGTAGATTTGAATACAAATTGAAGTATTAAACAGCAACTGATTCAGGACTGTTCAAATGTAAAAAGGCACACTCAGCGAAACCCTTCATTCAGGTCATCTTTAATGACAAAATGTTTGTTAATTATTCCAATGTGTTGGGAAAAAGAAAATCAAAGCAATGCATCATTACAATAATATCTACTGTTAGAGCGTCTCCTTCTGAGGGAAGTCTCTCTCCACACCTTTTCGGTTCCTGTTCACATTACGCCCTGCAGTCAACAACAGGGCTTCTGTTTCCACTCTCTGGGCGTTCACAATCTCTCGGAGAATCAGGGACAAAATCTTAAAAGCAAGACAACTCGACACAAACCAAGTAGGAAGGAAACATCCAGAAACACTGCTATCAGACACAGGCAGAGGGGTGTGTAGCGACAGTACCTGTGTGGCTGAAATAGGTTCAAAACCCGGTCAATTATTATTGAAAAACTAAAAGGTAACGCGTCCTGAGACCACCCACTGGGTCAGATAGTGTTTGCAGTTTTCTTTTTTAAATAAATCTATATACCAAACGCAAAACGTTCCTATGGTTGTGACGTGCAAACTTATATATTTTCTTGTCGTCGTCTTTTTGTCTTGCTCTGTGAAATGTAACCCTGAAATGCAGTAATCATAAAATAATATCTCTAAAAGGCAACAAAGCAGGTAGGTTCATTCTCACCTTTAATACTCATTACGTCATCCTATAGGTCACAACCCTATACAACAGACGTAGAAGAAGAAGCAGGAAGAAAGACGGCGTCAAAAAGAGTTCCTGAAATACCAGATCTCTAGGAATTGACTTCTGGATGCCAAAAAAACACCTTTGTACGTCATGCAGGAATAAAGTTCTCGGCATCTGATTGGATTAGATTATCTAAATGAAATATGATTCGACCCAAGTCTGGCTGTGGGTGGATACTGCAGTGTAGCTGATGTCTGATATCAAGCTTAAGTCCTTGTGTTGACACGTAAAGTAGAGCCAGTCAGGTCAACACTAACCTCCCTTCAGTCCATTAGAAGTGTCTGAACCTCCTCAGCCAATCAAAAGCCTGGAATAAGTGTTAGAAAACAGGACTGGCTACCACCGGAAAAACAGCAGCCTTACCTTACCTTATAGAAGTAAATTAATTCATATTAGACTTTTCTTACGTGAAAAACTCAAAAAATCCTTAAAATACTTGTCAAGAAAGCAGGCAGGTTTTGATTCGAAATCTAACGTTTTTGAGCTTTTTTTGGTACCAATTCCTTTTTGATTACTTAAAAATCCACCTAAATATGGACTAACAGGAAGTGGACCAGCTCTACGATATGTTGCAGACAAACCAGGAATCTAACTGGAAGAAAAACTACCCGGCAAACTAAACTCTGCCAGTGTCTGCCTGCACATCTACACCCTGTCCTCCAGTTGCAAACTGTTCATTCAGCTGCAGATCCTTTCTAGTTTCCATCAAAGAAAAACAAAAAAGTCACATAAATCTCTCTCGTCTAGACTTCCCCAGTGCAATTCCCGAGCGCTTGTGGTTTAGCTTGGCCACTATGGTTACTCCTTCCATCATTACACCTTCTCATGAAACCACCGGTTGTAGTAAGAGTAAGTTAAAAAAACGAAACAAAAACGCGATGAAATCTAAAGAAAATCAGCAAAATGGCTACTTTCAAAAAGGCATTTTTTTTAGCTCGCCCTTTTGAGATTGAGCGTCGGGAGACTCATGGAGGTGGTGGCACAATCTGTGGTCACATGATCAATTCGGGGGGGGTTTGTAGAAGAGTTTGGTTTGATGCTGCGACCCCCCCCCCCCGTTATAAACCCAGTCGCGGGGAAAATTATGTTTTGAAAAGCTAACACAAATGAGTGAAAGATATAAGGCATGGGAAAAGGGGGGGTTTCTACAGATAGCAAGAGAACAAAAGGAAGGGGGGGGGGGAAGGCAGATGCATTTCTCCTGAGAACATGTCATATCTCAGGGACGAGGGGGGGGGGGGGGGGGGGGACGAGAGCAGGCGGGACAGAGGTGAGAAGAGACGGGACGTTCTTCTCACGACAGCAAAACTTTCTGAAATATCTCATGGCCGCTCCTCAGGCACTAAACTTCTGTCTCTCCTCAGAAGGAGCTGGTGGGGGGGGGTGATCAGCTTCTTCCCGATGTAGACCCTGAGGAGGGGGGGGGGGGGGGCAGAGGAGAGCAGGTTAGAGTCTGTTTAAACCTAGTAGTTTTACCTGTTCATTTTCCTGCTAGGAAAGAGTCCCAATTGACAAGTTTCCGTCCATTTTAAGCACAAATGTTGAGTATATTTTCATAAAATGATCAATAGAAATTCAAATCAATATGCTCTTATGTATATTTTATGAGGCCACTGAGGGTGCCACTTAATTATTGCAAAAGCGGGCACAACAAGACAGCATCCATTTTTTTTAAAAGGGTGGAAAACGTAATGAAAGATATGACACTTATGTTTGTTCATACAGATCTAACTTTTACATTTGATTTGTAATCATCAGGATAAAGATTAATGCTATTCCCATACAAGGAATTTGACAATAAAACACATCAAGAAGAAATAAAAATGCAGGCAAAGTTATGCAAAAGCCAAGAAACATTTAAAGAAAGCACAACCTAGAGTGCAACCCTTTACTAGTTTCTCAGATATTTAACTTTATTTAACTTTTATTTCCTTTAAAAAGGTCCAGCATACTCCTTTCTAAATCACATGAGGTGCCTTTGTAGTACTAGTTTGGTATATGAAGGAGGATTATGACAGATATCCATTATCCTAAGCACCCTCATGAACAGTTCATAGAGAAGCACCACAGCTGATATGTAACAGAATAGATTGGCCAACAGAGACGTTGTGAGGATGACAGGTTAGTTGATGACTTCTCATTCAGCGTCTCGTAGGAGGAGAGCCTGAAGGCATCACTGCTGGGACATTATCTGATTTAGGGTGATTATAACATGTGTAATCTGGAGCAGGAAGGCCTGATGGGAGTGTCAGAGCTCACTGTGAGACAGCAGGTGCTCTGACAGTTCACACACAGATAAACAGCTCCCCCTACTGGCGATTTATACCACTGAATATGGGGGAAAAGGTGATGTGTGGTGTGTGTGTGTGTGTGTGTATGTGTATGTGTATGTGTATGTGTATGTGTATGTGTATGTGTATGTGTATGTGTATGTGTATGTGTATGTGTATGTGTATGTGTGTGTGTGTGTGTGTGTGTGTGTGTGTGTGTGTGTGTGTGTGTGTGTGTGTGTCTCTCACCCCAGCCCCAGAGCGAGGATGTGTGATAGCAGCAGCGAGGGGATGAAGACTTTCAGGAAGTCTGCGGAGAACATTCCTCCTTTCTTCATGGCCCCCGTCTTCCTCATGCTGAGAGTTACGGAGCGCCGAGGGTGACGGAAATGAAACTCCCTGCAAACACCACAGTCGCTTTAGACACAGCGCTGAGGATTCTGGGAAAATGCTAAACTTTCAGTTTACAATCAACTCTTCACACGTCGTCAGCATCAGAGGTTTATTCACAGCCTCTGACAGCTGCTGTTTTATCTGTGCTTCAGACCGTCTTAATCGCTGTAACGACTAACCGCCTCCTCTGGACAAACAGGCAGCTGTGTGTGTTCAGTTGCCATGGAAACATCACGTTTCAGAGTAGAGACTTACTTGGGGGGAATGTTTTCCGGTCGACTGGACCAATCAGCGACCCAGTCTGCATCCTTCATCAGGATGTCCAGGTCCCTCTCCTTCTCCAGGGGGTCCTCTTCTGACTGAACACACACACACACACACACACACATATTAAAATACAAATATGGCATGTTGTGTATATGTATGCATGTTTTAAGTCCAGTAATGGTGACAACACTGACAACACTGTAAAAAGGAAAGCAGCAATCCACTTTGGGCGCGGCAGCTATCTCCATGGAAACTTATGGCAGACAGCTTGTGCACCTCGGGGCCGGTGGTTGATGTTGCCATGACAACAGACTGATGGAAGAACCTGAGGAAGGGAAGGAGCTCTTACCAGGCTGTCTCTTCTGCCGCTCACGTCCACGTCAAAGATGATCTGTCCGTCATCCTCAGGACTGTGGGGCCGCGGGGGGCTGCGGAAAAACACAGATCAGAGAATTAGTTAAAGGTGAGCTCAGTACTCCTTGAGGTAGAAGTTAATCAGAACCAGAACACTTCATTTATCCCGTGGAAATTGGGTCTGGTGACGGTTGGTCCACTTTAGAATTAAATATGAGAAATTTAAAAAATGTAAGAACACATACAAATATTTATATAAACATAAGAAGTTCAACTTAAAAAAATGTGTAGCTGCCCCTTTAAGGTTCAAGGTTAGTTTATTTGTATAGCACATTTTAAGACACAGAGGCAATTCAAAGTGCTTCACATAGGCATTCAACACATAGTAATTCAAAACAAAACAAACACACAATCAAAACAAAAAAGAAAGTGACGGGGGATGTGATTGTTATCAATGTAATGTATTCCAATGACTCTTGATGAAGTCAACTTCTCCTCTCAATACAGAAAAAGTGATCAAATTCATAGATATAAACTGTTACATATCAAGAGCCTGCTTTATCAGACTTATACTAACGCGTCAGTAAAGATATGATAGTGGTTTTGTATTATCATTTCCTTTATATCTTCAGTTTCACTCATTAAAGATTCTGTGTGAGAAGGCTTGACATCACAACTCTCTGATTAGAACAGTGTGTGATGTGTTACACAGCATTAAGTCCTGCTGCTCCTGTACTCTCGGGTGATTGTGTGTCATGGGCATTTCCCTAATTAAATCTGTGTAATGTGACACCCTGTTGTGTTAAAATTGTGCCACGCTGATGTTTGTGTCGCAGCTTGTTCCAGATCAGCGTGTTGACACAGCGTTCGCTTCTCAAACATCCTCAGGTGACTCACTGGCAGCTGCCTCTGATAAGCTCTTTTTATTATGGCAGGAAGATAACACACAGGCTCTGGGATGTGGCCGGGGGTCAAAGGGTCAGGATGTTTCTAACGTGCCTTAGAAAATGGGAGGCATGCTGCATTAAGGCGAGCTGGTTTTTAATTTGAGAAGTTGAATCAACTCTTAGGCAGCTGTCAAAGCTGACTCGACGAAAGAGAAGCCCACTGATGATTGGATGATTTAAAACTGGAATATTAAAGGTGGGGTAGGTAAGTTTGAGAAACCGGCTCGAGATCGCTAGAATTTGAAAATACACAACCGGAAAAATTCTGCCACTTCCTTACAGAGCCCCTCCTCCAACACACATGAACGCGCACATGACCAATGAGGGCACGAGATAAGTTTGTGCACAGATGGAAGGCTGACAGGCAGGTAGGCCATCCAGTTATTTTAGCCTGGCCGGCTAAAATGATTGGTCGTGTTTTTTACAGTACTACGGCTTCCACAGATGACATTTTTTTATGGATTTTTTGTCAAAGCACTTAAGATATTCATTGCTATCGGGATGTTAAGAGCATTCCATGGAATATAACAAAAAGTGTATCTCGAGCCGGTTTCTCAAACTTACCTACCCTACCTTTAATGAAAGTTAGGGGGTTGTAAAGCGACCAATATTATATGTCTCTCTGTTTCAATTTCCCAGTAGTGGAGGCACCCCTTTTTTGTACTTTAACTATATTTTATTGAATGTTATGCTACTTTACACTTCTACTCCATTACATTTTAGAAACCAATATTATCTTTTTACTCCTTTATACTTATTTGATAGCTTTAGTTACAGATTGAAATCATTAGCTAATACAAAATAAAAGTATAAATCAACCAAAAATAAATAAACGTTGACATTCAAATATCCTGCAGCAGAATATAAAGTAATTAAAATTAGCCTAACCTTTACCGGCTTTGATAGACACATTAATACATCAATAACCATAATCTAGTAATTATATATATCTGAAATAGACCATTATGTTTAAGGACTACTCCTAGTTTACTTTTGGTAGTTAAAAAAAGGGTTTGAATGCAGGAATGATAATTGTAAGACAGCATTTGTACAATTTTGTGTAAGTATAAGTACAGTTTAATAAGACTAAAATCTTAGTTTTACTTCTTCCAACACTGCACTTTTCACAGGAACAGATGAACAGACATACGGGTGAAAATGGTGAAAGCATCTGATCAACAAGTTATATTTAAGTAGTTTTCCTCTAAGTATCCATTTCATTGCATCCAGTTTTTCACAATAAAAGACCCGTATTGTTGTAAAAGAACCAGATTGGATCAATTTGAATAGCCTTGGATTTGACTTTCCTTCACACACACATAAACTCTGCTCTGTTTCTCACTGAAAGGAGACACTGAAGTTCAAAGAAAAAAGGAACGTTTTTATATTGAATGCAGGGTAATAATCTCACAGCGTGGAAGTGATTTTATTTTGGCTTTAGGTTCAGATGTAACTGCTGAAGGAGTCATGAGGGACAGGAAGCAGCTCCACCACGTGCCCCAGATCTTCCACCACTATGAACACACGGTCGTATAACCCCGCAACTCATGACTTTCTTCAAATTCCTCAAGCATGAGCAAATTCTTGTGCTCTCGTCCACGTTCAATAACAAGAAGATAAGGAAGTAGTAAAGCCTGTTTTTCACGAGTATAGCCGTTAAAGAAAGAATATTATACTATATTGACTTTTAATTAGCATAAGTACCTTTTTTCTACCATAGTTATGCAGTTTAGGGTTTTCAAAATGAACACATTTGTTTTATTATTATAACAGGCACAACTACAAGCAGATCAGAGGTGTGGTTGACTGACAGAGCAACACCTCTGTAGGAATGAGTCTATTCTTGGCAACAGATGCATTACAATACTCTTTTTTCTTAAGAAGATAAATTAAAAAAGTAACTTATACACACTTTCTTCTTCTTGTAAAAAATGGGAGCCTCAATATCCACAATTACTTTTTAATTGCACAGTCATACTTTATATTTTATTCATCTTAATTCTAAAATGAAACGAATAATTTCAGCTTCATATCAGTGTGTAGTGTCTCTACTGGGACATGTCTCCCTGCTTTAATGTTCAAAAAGCTCTTTATTTTTCTCACACTGCCTGTGCTGCAGCACCTCTTTTCACCCTCTGTCTGAAACCAGAGCCCAGTCTGCTCTGATTGGTCCGCTGGCCGGCTCTGTTGTGATTGGTCAACCGCTTAGAGATGTAGCCTATCGTTTACAATGTGTTGGAGCCCTAGACAATAGAGGCGCGAGTGTTACATAGTGATGTCACTATGTTACGGGAGTAAACAAATGAGTCCAATGCAGTGTAACGTCTGTATTGTTCCCCTCTAACACTACCTGCCGCAGGAGGAGTTGCTGCGGCTGGACTCGTGCTGGGCGTCCAGCAGGATCTTCTCCATGTCTCCCTTGTGGATGGAGGACGAGGATGGGACGTGCTCCAGCCCCCCCACCATGGCCTCCTCTTCCTCCACCTCAGGGGGGGGCAGCAGGCTGGGAGCCGCGATGTCTGGGGACGAGGGCTGGGGGGCCCCCGCTGAGCCTCTGTTCATCTCCAACTCCACCCAGGACCCTGAGGAGAGACAACAGACACAGTTTTTATCTCACCTCTGTCAGTGCTGCGAATGTTTCATATTTTTCTTATTAATAAAAATATGTGAACACAAAATTAATTACATTCCTGGATTGTTTTCTCTTTTTTCTATTTTGGGAGAGAACCATTATTAAATAAAGTAAAACCTAAATGTGTACTTACTGCTTCATCTGAAAATGAAATGAAACTGCAAGACTTCATGACTGTGTGTATATAAATAAACATTAGTCACCATAAAATTGCATATTTTCTCTGCAGTTTTTCCATATAAACATGCGCGGATCCAAAGTGTCAGGGTCAGCTCATAAGAAGGTTCTAGCGTGAAGTCGTGTCAATAAACGAATACGCCAATTTCCTGCTCAGAGCATCTGATATACCCCGAGGAGCCGGATATTTACTGACCCTGGCCACGAATCACAAGAAAGCAAGTTGGAAGCATCGTTTAACTATGTCCTTCCTCACTGTGGTGTATCGTACCACCCTGTTGGATACTATCCCATAGCCAGCCTGTGTCACTGCAGCAGGGGACAACACTGCCTCTTATGTGTTGATGCTTCCAGCCTCTGATGTTGTTCATATGTACGTCAGAAGATTTGACAAATACATTCAAGTACGCAAGCAAGAAGGTTCTAAACATTGTTTTCAAACAATATATTTTGGGTTTCGATTTTCATCATTTTTCCTTTAAATTCTTATGTTTACAACAATATTTGTATTTTATTGTATCTCTTCGTGACAGATTCTTACTTTATGTTTGTTACGGAGATGATGGAGTACATTATAAATATATTAGATACGTCAGAGCTCTGTAAAAACAAAGCTGTCTATGCTGTCTGACGGCATTTTTTCTGGAGTAATTATACAGTTTTTGACGAACAGAAATATTGTTTTCTGGCATTACTTTTACATTTTACAGGGAAAATCTGTAATTTGGTATGAGGAAGCACGCCAAAAGTAAGAGGGAGCAGCGTCCCTGTTTCCCGGTATAGACACAACCCCGGTGCCAAAAACCCTTAATATGTATTTTCTCATTAATGTACCACTTAAATCTCCCCGGGCTCTGTCATTCATTTATTCTTTACCTACATTGTGTCTCAATATAGCAGTGAGAGAAGACATCGTTTTAGTCAGAACCATGAGAGAGATTTTTCCAGCAGACGTTTGCTTTTCCATAACAAGGCAAACAAAGAAGTAACCAGATTAAAGGTGGCTATTTTTAGACATTTTTAGTGTCCTAGTAAGCCACCACACACAAAGGAGGAGACACTAACACACCTAAATGGATTTGCAAACATAATAAATGATACAATTGCACCGACTATGACATGTCACAATATCTATCAGCACTTCCTCTTAGTGAAGCAAAAAGGCTTTTCAGAATCAAAATCAAACACATATAAAAGTAAGTGGAGTAGCAGTAAAATATTGGACATAACATTGTTTGCTTTTTAACAGTGGCGTTACAGCCAGAAGTAGTAAAGTAAGTCTCTTAAGCCAACGAGAAATAGGGGGATCAGAAAGAGACCAAATAATGTCAAAATGATTTCCTGGTCCTAAGCTGAGAACGAGGCAGACATCCTGATCCTGTCAGTGAGACGAGTTCAAGAGTAAATCTCTTTCTGTGTGACGGAGGTAACGGCCTGCTGTACTGTATGAGGAGTGTTGTAGACCTCGACTGTGATATATGACGCCCGGCCTGCTGGTACGTGAGCTCCAGCCTGGAGGGGCCGGCAGGTCAGAGGGGGGTTAACACAATTTGGAAACAGGGAGAAACGTTCCTAAGATTCCTTTTTGTGCAGCTTTTAAAGACACTTTCTCCTCATCACATTACATTACATGTCACTTGTTAGACGCTTTTATCCAAAGCGACTTACATACTCAACACTGTGGACAACCCCCACAGGAGCAATTTGGGGTGAAGTGTCTTGCCCAGGGACACAACGACATGCTGACTGCAGTGGGGTTTGAACCTGTTCCCCCCTGATCCGAACACCAACGCACTAACCCACTATGCCACACGCCTCCTATGTGCACACTTTTACTTTCCCTTTATATTTGTTTATTATTATTTTATATTTCACTTTAACTTCTTATGTTTATCTATCCTAATAAAATGTCATCAGATCTTTTTTTACTCAATTTACTTTAATGTATTATGTTTATATAAATATTTGTACAAAACATTTGTTGCACAATTTAGCTTTAGCATCTTATTTGTTTAAATATAATTTTTTCTATTTTATTTTACTTTGAATTGCACATTTTTCATTTAATTTCTTATGTTTATATAAATATTGGACATGTTCCTTCCCTTTATTTAAATATTATTTTCTATTTTATTTTATCTGTCTATGTGATACTTTACTTCTGATGTTTATAGAAATATTCTCTTATTTTTTTAATTGTATTTCATTCTAAAATGAAGAAAGGAAACCCAATTCCCATGAGGATAAATAAGACATTCTGATTTCCTCACTCAAATGAAGATGAAGGCCTTCTTTAAACACCGTGTGAACAGGGGATTTCAGTGGACTACATTTCAACATTTCAGGCATTAGGCCAGTTATACCCGCTACCCTAATGTGCAACCCTCCCCCCTGGAACTGACCCCGACTCAGCACTTGCTCTCACTGCGGATTACACATCACCGGACAGCGAGCCAAGCTGCCGGCGACAGCCCATTGTCCGCGCTCCAGGGACTAAAACCACACGGCCATGAGCGAAAGCTTCAGAATATTCTGGTTACAGAGCAGCCGTCAGCTGTTGGCCGGGTTTAAAAGGGGGCAGACGGGGTGAGACCTCTTTGAGTGACTGATACTGAGGCTCGGACAGGAGGGTGGAAGGTCAGAGGATGCCTGAAGATCCCAGGAATGAAATAAAAATGACTGTAGTGTGAGAGCTCCAGAAAACGCCAGAAATAACACAAGTCTCAGATAACACTGCTGGCTCTGAATCTAATCACTGCAAGGTCTTATTGTCCCTAAACATGTTCTGTTACAGTCTCATATCTGGTGCAACAATGCCATCCAAAACAATTTCATAATATTCCAGACATGATATCAGATCTTTACTACAGGTATAACAATGCCAGAACAATTCAATATAATAATATTAATACAAAAATATTTAGACATGAATCTTTAACTTTGTTTATTGTGCATTTTGTCACTTTGTAGCAGAAAAATCACACATAACATGAGTGAAGAATGTATGGTTAACATGCAATGGAGTATTTTCACAATACTATAATTTGTCTATTATTAAGATATACATTTTTCATTTTTAAAATAACACATTATCCTCACTACCGACATATTGCAGCACTCCTAAGTAATTATAAGTTATTCTGTCACAGTCAGATGTAGTATGTACGTCTTTTAAGTAAATGTCAAAGTAAGTTAATCAACAATAGTGCTGGGTACACATTGTGATAGCAAGGGATTATGGAGCCCTAGACCACAATAAATATGTCTGAACATTGTGTAATATTTGCAGGATTTGTCCAGTCCTTTTCCTTTAATTGGCATAAAACGCAGACAAAGTATGTATAACTAAAGTTGAAGTCGTCTAAAAAGTCTGCAAACCAAAGTTAAACATAATAATAAAAAAAACCTTCCATCTCGTCCAACAACAACTTTCCATCACTGGCTATCCAATCCTATGAAAATAATAACTTGTGTCTCTTGAAATACATAAAGTGGATGGAAAAGTTTGAGTCCTGCCCATTACAGTGTGGCTCTGAATCAAGCAGCCTCAAGTGCAGTGCTGTAACACTTTCCCTTCCTTTCCTCACGTCCAAAACGTCTGTCCTCTTGTCACTGTGGCCATAAATAGCATGCCAAGTCACGACCCCCCATAGTGTGGTAAAACTTTAACCATGGCAGCTCTCAAAGCAACGTTAAGCCCCTGAGTCAGTGCGACAGGCTCATAAACATGCCTTTGTTTACGTCTCTAATGGCTTATGCAAGCCTAGTTCGTGCATGTAGCTGATCCCAACAACTGTTCAGGTGAGACATTTCCACACACTTGTAAAAGATGAAGTGAAGGCATTTTTGTTATTTGCCAAATGGAAATGTATGTAGAAATTGATTAAGAAATCCCTTACACTGTTTTTTCAAATAAAATGTCCAAACAAGTAATTTTCACGCAGATTTATGTTGCTTCTAACGATATTACGGACTGTAAAGTACAGCCACTTCGTGTAAATGGTCTTAATGTATGTCCGTCCCAATTCTTGCCTGTTCCGACTTCTTCCATCTCGCCTTGTTGACAAAGCTTAAACCCGCCTCCAGCCTTCCGAGTGAATCGCTGATTGGCTTAGCAACACATCAGTCAAGCGTGTCTCAACGCTATTGGTTCCCCCACTGTCAATAAACACTGAACATTGCGTTCCCACGTATCCCCTTCAATGTACCCGAAGAAAAAAAAAGATAAACGGGCAGAATAAACTACCTTCAACGATTAAAAACTTTCAACAAACGTATTATAAACACACTAGTTTATATTGACTCGTTCTTTGTAGAGTAAACACACTGACAGGCGGTTACAGTGCAGTAATTTGGTAACATTTTGCTCACCGTTTAGCCCGGAGTCTCCGTTGTTGTCTGTAGAAGTAGCGTTAGCAGCGTCTGACATGGTGCCTAGCGAGCAGGGCGAGATTCATAAAAATGTTCAAGTCAGTGCTTCAACGTGCACTATCTTATCTGCACAAACTCACACATGCGATAGTATATTTAAACCAAGTGGTCTATTCCGTTTTTCAGAGCGCGGCTAGCTAAGCTAACGCACCGCCGCTGTTTGTTTTGTCGCCCGTGCGCTGGACTGGAGGCAGCAGCAGCCGCGCGAGCGCTCAGACCCTTCCCGGAGCTGGGTGATGACGTCACGCTGTCCCGCTTATAACAAAAGAGGCAGCGGGGAGTGGAATTACATAACAACGAGCAGGAAAAACACACCCGATACACGGCATGCATGAGCTATAAGTATCAATAACTGAGCGGAAGAATACATTTCAAACACGACATGTGGTGATAGATGTGTTCCCGTGCAGGTGGTGTGCACCCACGTACAAAACACATGCCAATCTGGACACCACATCAGCTGATTGCAGTGAATCTTCAATGGTGGGGTGTCTTTATTATTTCTATCACTCAGATCAGGGACACCTAGAATGCAAGGGGCTCCAAAGGGCTCCAAATTTGCAATGATTTATAACCAGCAGAAACAAAAATGGAGAATCACTACACACCAGAAGTTGTTCTTAACAGGGACCCTAGCTTTTCTTTTGTTATAATGTACTGAAAGCATACCTTATAAATGATGTAGAACCGTAACAAATAAATAATGGACAACATGGATAACACATTTAAAAAGAACACAGTACTGATGAGATCTCAACGATCAGGCAATCACAACGGTACAAAAAGTAGTTCCTTTATTATCTTCACCGTCATAGATTAAAACTGTAGTTATACATTACTAGAGGCATCAATTTAATTGAACTGTCCACATTTTAAATACGTGTGGAGACATCAACAGCTGCAAGTCCTGGTGCAGCTTATTGTACCATCACATTACAGTAGCAGTAATAATGTCTGCAGTAGTTTTAAACAAACACTTTAAGTGACGTAATGCCTCAAATAATGTTTTCTTTTAAACCGACAACACATCCAATTACTTTAGTTGGTGCAGCAAGAGTCCAGTGTCAAATCAAAAAAAGGTTTTTCCCTGTTGTGAAGTACTGCTTCGGAGCTGTGGTACACCACGGGAAGACAATACTTAAAGATCACTCGAAAAGATGTGTAAGGTCCAGCTTCATTTCACAAAATAGGACGGAACAAATCTGGTGACATTTTTACTTTTTTTAATATAAATATGACAGTCATAATAATTATTTGTTAATAGGCTATCTCTTATACCTTGTCCAACACAAACAAAAGGAGGAAGAGGAACCGATGCACGAAAGACAGAGCCAATCAAAAAAAAGAACCTATTTTGTAGTCTGGACCTATTTTAGCCCGAGGCACAGCAACTGGCCGGGCTTTAAATCTGTGAAACAATCCTTAAACTCCTGGAGGCGAGCACTGAGGTGTTGCTGTCCTGCATGTCTGAGCAGCAAGAGTGGAAAGAAAACTGAGCATACATTTGTGACTGTTGGGTATGTAAGGTTGAATGAACCAGGTTTGTGAAGAATACTATGGCAGTCTAATGGTTGAATTAATAAAAATGTGTATACACACAAAAAAAAAAGACTGGCAAATTTTTCTTAGAAAAATAAACACTACAATGGCACAGGACAATAAGGGGAATTACTAAATAAGTGTGTTTTTACCACAGAGCCATTGGCAGGGGAAAGTTATAAAAATAAGTGTGTCTGTATTCAGATTTTTTTAAGGAAATTAAACGTGTGTACCCATGTTACCCCCGGGGAAGAAAAAGGGCAGGTGGGCTGGCAAAAAAAATAAAGCCATACCAAAATAGGGAAAAGAAAAAAATTGGCACAACATCACTTAAACAACAAGGCAGGTGTTACTCTGCCACAAACAGGCTGATGATGGGCAAGAGCGAGGCTTCCTCTGTCCACATCTAGAACAAAGTGGCAAAGTCTGGTCACCCAGTAGCGACGGACAAGGATGCTGGTTGTCGGGCGTTACCGCAGATCACCCCTGGGTGAGGCTTGCGAGGCTGAGGGTGATGCAACGGGACGTCCCCCCGCGCCAGATCTCAGGTAAACTCACCGCGGCGTTAGTTCACTTTGTCCTGGAATATGTAGAGGTTGTTGGTCGTCGCCACGGCGATGATGTTGTCCTGGGGGTGCCAGGCGGTGTGGAGGATCTTCTTGTTGAAGTCCAAACTGTCCACGCTGATTTCGTCCTTCTTGCGCTTGCCGCCCGCACACACTTTGCGGGGCTTTAGGACCTGCATGGGCTTGCTGTTTTCTCGGGACGCCTCCAGAGTTACGTCCCGCCTCTGGCCGCGGTCGAACATCCGGAAGAAGTTGTTGTATGAGCCGGTCATCACCACACTGAGGGGGGGGGGAAGGAGAAAGGTACGTGAGCCTTTCACACAAGTAATGCTAGAATAATGTCCATAACTTAGTACTTCTGAACAGAAATGCATTGGCAAGCAGCTGGTATGGCTGCACAATGAATATCATTCCCAATATGGGCTAGTGCTATATTCGAATCAGACGGTCCAATAATAGTTAAAAGTCAAATATAGAATATATATATTTTATTACATTACGATGCTAAAAGAGCTTTGCTGTAATTTGTAAGCACCCTCAATAAAATAAAATCCTATTCTAAAACACAGATAAGCAGCATCAACAGAGTAAACAAAAAACATTTTATTTTATTGCATTTTCTTTGGCTCCCGCATGTACTCACGTGTCATTGCCATTCCAGCAGCACTCAAACTTGTCAAAGATGCAGTCGTTCTCGTACAGCGAGCACAGCTTGCTCCTCAGGTACTCATGAACCTGCAATAAGCAAAGGCAGGTGTGAAGGCGCTATTTAAAGACTGACACATACAGTGTTAGTAGTGTACACACATTAGTGCAAAGCAAAACCATGTATTTACAGTGCCCCCATGTGGCCACATTATGGAATTACAAGGTAAGATAAGGCGTGGCCATTGTTAACCCTTAGATGCATAAGTGGGTCTTTTTTGACCGGGTGAGGTGGTATTCTTGAAGTATCTTTGTAATTACATTTTTTTTATCATTTCATATTCCAGCTATTCCTCAAAAAACATGTTTTGGATATCATGCCATTCAAATTTTAAATGTAAAGAAATTGTAGTTTTTGTATTACTACCCCAAGCGTCAAAAATGACCCGCATGCATTTTCTATGGAATCCTATGGGAACCGTTGATTCTTATCACCTGTGGCTGTCAGGAATACATTCACTGTAGACCACACAGACTACATCACAAGTGACACCTCTCAGGAAGATTATTTTACACAGCAAGATCTGATACCTGTCAGTATAATAATAATAATAATAATAATAATAATAATAATACATTATATTTTTATAGGGCTTTTCAAGGACTCAAAATCGCTTTACAATATAAGGGAAGGTTAGGGTGGGGGGTATAGGACTATCAAACTTGATCAACCGGCATGGATTGATGGGGGGTGGGCTATGAGTAGACAAGAAGGACTTCAAAACGTTTTTTTTTCCAAATGTAAAAAAAAAGGTCTAAAATTATAAATAGTGAAAAATTAAATATAAAATATTTCTAGTGTGAACCAAAATATAATACTAAATATTATAAAAGTGATTTTTCTTAACCAAAATGACAGAAATTGCATAATAACACTTGTGGAAGAGTGTAGGGTCCAGTCACTCGTGCATCTAAGGGTTAAGAAAGAGTAAAAATAAACACTGACAACATTATATAAATTCTACCTTAGTGGAATCTTTGTTTGGAAAAAACTGAAACATTTTTCTATTTCATTTTCATTGAGGTTACAAGCCCAGGTAAATTCAGAGAAGTGACATTTTCTTTTGCTTCAATTCAAGTGGTGTGATGCATGTAGCTGCTTCAAATTAATCTTTGTGGTAAAAACATTAGCTGTGCATCGCAAAGAAATTAAATGTTGTCAGTTACAATAATACTAAGAAAAGACAAAGTTACAGAGTAGATACATTACTAAACTAATACGTTACTGTTTATGTGTTTGTCCCTCTCACCTGGTAGGTCTCCACTGGCCTGCTCTCCATGTTCAGATCCCAAATCTTTACGGACAAGTAGTCTCGGGTCATCATGTAGCGTCCATTGTGGCTGAACTTTACATCCGAGATTGAGGATATGATCTCGGAGAAGAAGGAGCGATTACTGGGATCTTCAGGCTCCTCAAACACTGGACAAGAGAGGGGAAGATATAAAAGTGAGTATGATGAAATACAGTCAGACTTCAGCAGTCAGGTTTCTGAGTGACATTAGGAAGATGCGTGTGCGGACAAAACTAATCTGAATGACAGAGATTATGAAGAGATCAACAAAAGAGATATTTAAGCCATGAACTGCACACAAGACTAAAGTAATAGATGCAAGAATTGGTATTGTCAAAATCCCAAACAGGTTTGCAGAGTCTCTTCTTAGACCCCATTTACACGGGAACGCAAATCAACCGAATTCGATATCAAAAAAGTATTCCGCTCACACGGCTCAATAAACGTGTCCCTTCACACGAGACCGCTCGACCCGCTCGACCCGCTGTAGTACATATGCCGGGCCTGTAAGTGGCGCTGTACTTCCACTTCATCAGGAAAATTATCGTATAGGGCGTACACACGGAGCCGTTTGCCCCCCCCAGAGCGTTCCGTTTGCAGATCTATCCACCTTGGGACCCGTTATCGTTTGCGGGGGTCCGTTTCCGCGGTTCCGTTACGGCCTTGTGTGGCCGAACGGGCTATACGTGAGAGAAAAGTAGCGGATACAACCCGTTTAGTTCTCGTGTAAACAGCGCCTTAATATCTCCGGTGGCCACAATGGCTGGTAAATAATGCTCTGAAAAAAAAAAAAAAAACTGTACTATTACGGCTTCTAACAATGGTGCTTCTGGCAGATGAGCAGCGATAAACTCAGAATTTAAGCCAACAGGCACAGTGCAGATTTACATATAATTATTTAACATAAGATAAATAACGTATACATGAGATATGAAAGCCACATCACACATGATGGATGACAATGCACCATCGTTTCAGATTCGGTCATCTCAAACTGTGGCGAGGCCTGAGAAGCATCAGTTTAGCTTCAAGTTTCAACATGTCCAAATCTTTTTATCAGTGCTCTGATGGTCACTTTTTTACTGACCGTTGAGCCTGAAGAACTCCCAAGCCGGAGAGCGTGTTGCGT